AGACTGTCCCTTTCATCTCTTAATCTTTAGGACCCAGTACCGGGTCTGTGACGCCATTTACTTCTGCATTCTTAAAATTTTAAAGGTCCATACTGGCCCAATACTTTCAGAAATGGTTTCGTTTACTCGTCAGTTGGAATAATATAACTTTTGCATAGATTGTGATAGGGACCTTTTTCTTTTTTCCTATGATTACTGACATGTGCAGGAACCACCAAAATTAATTACAGCAACCAAGACCACACAGAACCTAAAAGATACACTTTCAAGTTGGAGTTTACAGAAAAAGCATCTTTTTTTTGAGGGGTTTATTATATTGTTATTTTGATCACCTTCAACTGCGTTTTATGAAAATTGAAAGTGTTTTCCTTAAAATGATATCAAACTTTTTTTTGGATTTTGGGAAGCTTTTTAATTTAGATAGTCAAAAAAAAAGAAAACAGGCGGAAACCCCAAAATAGCAAAATTTATTGGACAAATGAATAATAAAAAAAGAAAAGAAAAATCAATATAATTGAAAAGAAACACTTATTTCCATATTTATGAATCTGAATAATACACCACTTCCTAAAAACACCACTGAGTTATTCTTAAAACTCTATATGGGCTATGAAACATGTTAATCACCACAGATGCACTCCAGATTTTCTGTTTTTCCATGATCAAATTTCACATTTCATTTACATAAACTCTCTGAGCCCAGCAGCTCTCCATTTATGATATTATAAACCCCAGCATTTGCTCAGTCTAAGCAAAGGTCAAGAACAAATGAAAAAGCATACATATTTAAAACACACAATCAATCATTAAAATAATTGTTTTAGATTATCGGGAACCTGTTTAAAAGCAATTTCCTGAAGTCATTGACTGATGCCTTTAGTACACACAGAGCTAGAGAGACTCGTACGTCAAGTAGTACATCATGCTAACGTTCGATTAGTCTTGATCAATTTCTGGAAACCAAACAATGTACCTTCAGGTGCTGGGAGGTTGTTAAGGAGCTCTTCGGCGAGTGTTTTTCTAATTGATGAAGAGTGTTGTGTAATTGCCTGCGGTGGATGATGTTTAATCTGCTAATAATGTCAGTGAGTGATATTAGCAGGAGGCCGTAGACTAATTAAACCAACAGACGCCTTTGCGCAGTCTGGGGTGAACCTTAACAAACCATTTCAGTGCTTTACTTCGTCTGATGCCTTGTGTAATCTGAGACACGCATGCTGCGGTAGAAATGGAGAAATAACAAATCTGAAGAGCCTGAAAGAGGCTCAGGCTGAAAAAATGGGGCAAATGAAAGAAATGTTCCTGGCTGAAATGAAAATGAAGCTTTAATGACAGCATTTCTGGGTTACTGATATAATGATGTTGACCTAGTTCACTGTAATTATGCTAATACAATTGTTATGCAAGTACAAATAAATAATACAAATTGGCACAAGATGATTTTTCAGAGGTTGATGGTAACAAAACATTTTTTTTTTTTATCCACAACATTTAAACCAAACATTCATTCATTCTTGCATTTTCTTTTCAGCTTAGTCCCTCTATTAATCTGGGGTCGCCACAGTGGAATGAACCACCAACTTATCCAGCATATGTTTTACACAGTGGATGCAACCCATCACTGGGAAACATCCATATACATTTTCATTCACATTTATACACTGCGGACAATTTAGCCTACCCAATTCACCTGTACCGTATGTCTTTGGACTGTGGAAACCCACCTGTTCGTGGGGAGAACATATATATATATATATATATATATATATTAGTGCTGTCAATCGATTAAAAAAAATTTAACTAATTAATCGCACCTTTTTAAAAAAATTAATCGCGATTAATCGCATTTAAAATACTAATACTTGTAATTTTGGTTATTCAAATGTAAAATTAATGAAATGCAAGACAAAAACTATTTAAATTCAAAATATAATTGTTTATTAGAATTAAAATTCAAAATATAATTGTTTAATAGAATTTTTGTTTAACTTGTAACACAGATTTCTTCATGTAAACAACATACCCACAATAAACCATCAAGATCCTGGCTTAACAGCCATATTTATTAAAGAAATTAAAACACAGGCATGTTAATGACATTTAAATTTCAAAACAATCAATGCCAATAAAGAAAACATTGATTTTCATGTTGGATTCTAAGTGGACTGCAAAAAAATGTCAAAATACAGGAATTGCAGATATGGAAAATGAAAAATTATAATAATAAACTATAGAATACAAACTGTTGCACTCATTGTAAAGTTTTATTGCTGTGAGTTGAGAACATTAGTTATAGAGTAGAAACAATTTTGCTTAATCCCCCTTTACATTCATCCAGTTGCTAAGACTAGGAGTATCCCGCAAGTGCACATAGACTCCCAAATGCCCGCAAATGAATGATAATTTCTCACAAACCGGTCGTTAAATACATTGCACACCCCTCTCCCCCACATCCCTCCTAGCTCTTCAGGTAGCCTATGTCGTGCGCAACTCACCCCCACCGTCCTTCAGGTAAGTCTCGCGCGCACACGCCCCTACTCAGATACGTCACTCACTCCACCCCTGACACCCCTCATTGGGCCTGACACAGACACACACACAACGCGCTGCAGACGTTTTGGCCCCAACGGCCTTCCATACTGGAGCAACTCCCCTCAGATTCAACACGCATGATCACGTTCATTAAATTTGCTTAAACTAAGCGTCCTAAAGTATTACTGTATTTTACAAGGATTCTGACAAAACAACGCGAAGCATACGCTTTCGTTGCGTTTAATGAGGAAACACGCTAAACTTGAAGGGCTCATGCTGAAAGGCAGAGTAATGCCCTGTCTTTGACAGCTCGCGACTTCACCAGAGAGTTTCTGAGTACATTCACATAAGACACCAATACTCTGATTTTAACATGATTAAGATTATACTCTTATTAAAATTCCACCATGTAGCCTATGCAGTGATTTTATTACCTTAAAGGAAAACTGAGTCACGAAATGCGGAGGATTTTCTTTCTGTTCGCCATGCGGTATCAACTTACAACAGAAGTCGAAAGTTAAAAATGAAACACCCGAAATTGCATGAAACTCTGGAGAGCCTGGTGATGCGACTAATTGTTTTATACTGAAACTTGCCTTCAAAATGTGCTTCCTTGGTCTTATCCACATTTCTTGCATGTTAAACACACGTCCACCACAACAGGAAGTAAAAAAAACCCTGCAACTCCGTTAATTGCGTTAATTTTTTTTAACACATTAATTTTTTTCATTAATCGCATGTGTTAACATACTAATTTTGACAGCGCTAATATATATATATATATATATATATATATATATATTGCGGTTGTGATTTTTAAAGTATTACAGCACTTTGTAAACGTTTATTATTACCATTTGTTGAGTCTCCCCATACAGTTTGATAGAGCGCTTGGACCCGGAAGCTGCTTCGCGTGACGTCACACTTAACAAGCGCATAGCAGTTTATGTATTGTATGATTTTCGTTTAATTTATTTATGAAAATACTCTAACAATACTTGTGCATTCCAGGCATGCATCAAATGAATATTCACGAGGCAAAATCTTCACTGTTGTGTGCTTGGTAATTTCAAATGCCTTATTGTGTATGTAATTTCAGTTACTGCAATTAAACTTAATTATCTAACACATCCTGCTCTCCATTTGCGAAAGATAACGGCAGCATTTTCAGCACGCCACTGATATTGTTTCAGTCTGACATAATGCTAGAGAGCTGCTGAAAGCTTTTTTGTAGGCTGAACCGATTTTACTTTTCCCAAAGATCAATATCTTTCAGATCAATGTAGAGGCACATCCCTCTCTAGATCCTTATGCTGATGATATCTTTCGCTAATGCGCTTACCTCCGCCATTTGAAACCATTAGGGTTGCTGTGCATATTTTCCTCAAGTGTCTGTGGCCTAGCAGTAATCTCTTCCTGTAGCTGTGAGCCAATTTACTGCATTCATTGCTTGTTTTATACAGTGTGGTGATGTTGTCTCCATATTAATTCAGTATACAAACTGTTTGTCGTCCTTTATTGGATAGAAATATTCTAAACAATTTCTTGGAGTTAACATTTTCTTATAACTTATAACTGAATTGATGATTTCAGATAAGGGGTCTGATCAGGGGTCTTTAAACACCTTTGTTTAGTCTAAGGCACAATCCCAAATCTATTTATTTTACCCCTGAATGCTCAAAACAAGGGGTAGGGGAAAAGGGCTAAGGGGAAGAATTGGGCCTATATTTCAACTAACCTTTGAAATAAATGTTCTTTTTACAATATACTAGAAATTGTTTAAATTTTCTGAAAAGAAAATTACACTTAATTTAGCTTCATAAATATTTATTGTAGTGTAAAATGATTTTTGATACATTTAACACATCCACATCCTTATATCTGTGATCTTTTTTTCATTCAGTTTTCAATTTTAGCATTTTTGACCCATTACGATCAGATTTCACTTCATGTGAGGATTTGTAGAGTAATTATATTCTTATTTTATGACTTAATTTATGATATATGGATTTTGATATACATCATATTGTTTTAATACACACTTTTCAGTCTTTTACCCATCATAAAAACCTTGTCACATTCAAATATTTTTTTGTCATCCATCCATGACCTTAAAAAATGAAAATATTATCAAAAAGAATCTAAATTATTGAGTATAATAAGAAGTAAAAACGTAGATCATTTTAGATATAGAAATATAAGTTATGGCTATAAAAAATAATACAACAATACAAACAATATTTTTAACTTTAAATATGAAGAATATAGCTATAGAAAAAATATTTAGATACAAACAAGAAGAAAAAATAATATAGGAAATACTGTGAAAAAATCCTTGCTGTTAAACATTCTTTGTCTAACAATCTAATAATTTTAACTTCAACTGTATATATTTAATGTGTTTGTTACATATAGAAAGTGAGGCTATACCTATAACTAAAAATAAAATGTTTTTTCTGTCTTCATAGATCCTTGCCAACATCATCATCTTCATCTGTGGAAATGTGGCAGGGGCCTATCACAAACACCTGATGGATCTGGCTCTTAAACAGACGTACCACGACACCTGCAACTGCATCAAGTCTCCCATCAAACTGGAATTTGAGAAGCATCAGCAGGTACAGCCGACAGTAGTGCACAGATTGCCTGACTTGCATTGTTTTCAGCTAAACTGCATGCTGTCCAGTCCTATAGGGAGAAGTAAATGTAGGCCTAGTTTGGGGAGGTATCAGATAGGTTTAAGCATGAGTCATTCCTGCAGCTGTTTTAAAGAGATCATTATATCAGCACAATGGGCAGCTAATATCCAGAGGCGGAGGGGGTTTAAGAGTTGCATTGTCCCAAAATAGCTTTGTCCCCCCCACCACCAGTGCTCTGTTTCCTGTTACATACGGGTGGGGCGGAAGTCTGCCTCTTGCCTTGGGTAGTTGTGCTTATTGCTGTTTTACGTGAAATAATGATAACATGTGTGTTCATAGAGATGCTGAGTGAAATTTGAGCGCTGAGATAAAGGCAGATCGGTTGACTGCACTTCTGCTCCATCAGGAATTATCACATCTCTTAGAAACATCACCCTGCTCTCAACTCCATTATTCCACGAATGTTATCAGGGTTGTTTTTTTGGCTTTCCTGGCAGAACAATTGCAGAGCGCAAGGCAAATACAATGTTCCTCTCACTCTCTGCACAGCTTGATTGGATCTTGTATGTGTTGTGAGAATGAAAAGCATCAGTCGGTTCATCTGCGGTCGGGTCTATCTGCCGTATTGTAAAACATGCTGAAGCATTTCCTTCATTGACCTCCTGCGGTGCTGATCACACACTGGTCATTCCAATCAGAACATTAGTTCAGCACAGACCATCAGCCTAATTACAGATATGCCTTATTGTACTTTCCAAGGGCGAATAAAGCATTGCTGTTGAAATTTAGTTTGTGATTAGGAGAGTTCCACACAGCACGGGGTTTATAAACCCAAAAACCAAAATGCACACTTCCTTTCAAAAAATATATACTTGTTTACCATTTGTAGCAAGGTCTGTTATTTGTTTTATTAAAAGTTCTGTAAAATAGGACTAGTTTAACATAATTTTGCATACTTTTAATTGATGGTAAAGCTGAATTAGCATTTTTAGTGTCACAAGATATGAGGTTTTTGAGTGAAAGTGAAAATAACTGAGTAGAGTTCAATTTGGATAACTTATTTTGGGGTCTATTTTAACAATCTAGGCGCATAGTAAAAGTGGATGGTGCAAAAGCAGTAAGAGCATGTCTGAATCCACTTTTGCCGTTTTACATGGCAGACTTTCTAAGTGGAAAAACTGAATGCCAATGAGAGTATATTGATGTTTTCCTGACTGGAAGGGCTTCCGCTGCATAAAACATATGCTGGATATGTTGGCGGTTCATTTTGCTGTGGCGACCCTATATTATTAATAAAGGCACTAAGCCCTTTTTGCACTTATACACCTTAGTTTCTATTTATCTATGATATTTAAATACTGCATTTTAGTGACTTTTATTTATTTTTCATTTTTTTTTGCTGAATTAGCTAGTCAGATGTCATCATAATCACACTTTTTGATGTATTAAAAATTTTCCCTAAAAAATTAAAACAAGAACTTATTAACCCCCCGATATATATCCGATCAGAATAAAAAAATGAAGTAAGCAAACAGCCTCAAAAACACAGAAGTGACGAGATTAGCGACTTTTGCTGTGAAGTGACATCTGACAGCTGAGGACTCCGCTTGCCATTAAAACCTTCATCGGACAGTTATTTAAAAAAATAATGTCAAAAATAGGGAAAGGGAGGTTATGTACTGGACAAGTCAATATACAGGACGTCCCGGCTTATGCGGCCAGTTAGCGTAGAACCTTATGGATAGGGGCAGATTTTCATCTGTAAGGAAATAAGTAACTTTAGCCTTACCCTGTTTGGCAGTCTTTTTGAACATATATGTTCAATATTTTGCAATAATGATGCTGTTGCCTGCCTTTTCTGCTTTCTTGCTCTTTTCGACCCAAAAAATCCTCAAAAATTCAATACTCAAAATCCATGGATGTTGCATCAAAGATTTAAATGTTACCACTCAGTGGGTTATGTCGTGACTCGCGTCACATTATTGTGGCTTTGAGGCTCTATGGGATTCGAATTACTGGCCAGAGTTATTTAAAATGATTTTTTAAATGAATGAATGGATTTTATTAAAATATATATTAAATATAAATGTATTAGAATAATTATATATATTATATAATATTAAATTACATAAAATAATTAAAAGGACAAATTCTGGACCTTTCATTCGAACCACCCGAACCCCCCCCCCCATGGCTACGGGCATGTCATATGGTGATGCAAACTCCAAAAACCTGACAGGTGGACAACTCTAAACTTGTTTTTATTAAAAAATAAATAAATATGCATATAATTAAATAATACTGCTACTAATAATAATGTTATACAAATGCAGATTGTCATGAATAAACTAAAAAAGTCCCCAGATATGAGGCATGGAGGTAATGGTTTTTATATTTTTGTAGAAAATAATAATTTTAATCCTGTAATGTATTTTTTTTTTTATATAAAGATATTTGTGTATTGCTTTACATCCTGTGTGGATTAAGCAATGTGTAAGTATTTGGACCTACAAAGATGCATAACTAACGCATTCTCCACTGGACTTATACCAGTTTTTAGTTGGTCAGTGACGTAGTCTATTTCAGGTTTTCAAAATACCAATGTGCCTTAACACACCTCCTTTTCTGACTGGAGCACACATGAGTCCTCAAAGTGGTGCAAATGGATGTGCTATAAACAGCGTGGAGCAAAATGTGAAAATTAGGGTTGCACTGGTCTGACAATAGCAACAAATCACACCATGCAAGCACCTTTTTGCACCGGGTGTATGTTAGTGCCCTGTATCTTTAAATATATTAATACCAATGACATTTTTTATTTATTTATTTGCAGATAGCTCTTTTTTGTCTGTATCATTAAACTTATTTTATTAATTTGTGTTGGGAAAACTGCTGAAAAAACAAGCAATCCTCAAAATCTCTCATCTCCTTTCTAAGAATGCTATTAAATCTAATGAATATATTTTTATTCTGTTAACCATTGTTTCTGCAAGTCTTTGCTTGTGGGCATATACCGACAAAAACAGTGCCCTAAACAATGCAACTTTGAATTCAGGTTTTATTGCAGAATATCAACCACCCAACAGCAGTGTGTCAAGCATTGAGCCTATCCTATAAAGTTAATCATGATTATTCACCACATTCTAAAAATAAACAGGTATTTTAGCATTTCACTGAATGACATGTTTTATATTTTAAGCTACTTCTGATACCAAATTATCAACTAGAAGTCAAGTTATTATTTGTTGTTTTCTAAAATGTGGATAGGTGACAAGACTTTTGTCAGTTAGTGTATACCAGAGCTTTAACAAACCAAACATACCAAATGTTAAAGCAGAGGAAGAACCACAAGATGGATAAATGACATCATTTCCTTTAGCAGTCGCTTTTTCAGACCACAACATATGCATATTACACTTGAACCCATTAGTGCGGACAGCCTACACTGATTTGTCTCAATTTTGATGATAATACATTAATGGACCTTTATTTAAAAGCACTTATGTCTTCTGAATACAACAGTAAATGTGTATAAACAGTTTCTTTTTTTCAGTCACAATCAGCACATGGCACACTCTATTATTTTGTTTCCTTTTATTTGACCTTCACTAAACCAGGTGCTCTCTTAAGGGAAAACAAAGGAACTGTAGAAGAGTGGCAGCATAATAAAAGGAGAAATTTATGGGCTTTTCGAATCTCAAATGTTGTTCATATTTCATATTGTTCGTACTGTTCGCCGGGTCATTCATTCGACGTAACCCTGTTCTAACCTTCCCTCAAGTGGGATGCATTGTTTAACCCAGGGTCAAGAATGGACTTAATTAGTGGCTGACCAATATGTTTTTTTTTAAATGGCCAATCAGAATACAGTACCTAAAGAGCTGCAAAACTTACTATATAGCTGATATTATACTTTATAAGATAAGATTCATCTAGCTGGATAGCTTATTTCGATAATATAAAAATGTTGGTCATTTAAAGGCATAAAACGTGATTAACGATGCATTTCAGTGGTTTTAATCAGAACACCTAGTGAGTGAACAAAATCTACATGTGTTTTAGTAGAATAACAATTTTTTTTTTTTCATTAGTGGCAGGAGACATCTGTTACACTTCTGTGATTGAGACTGTTCATCCATCATCATTTTTCTCAAATTTTCTTTTTCTCATTTCACATTTTGTGATGAAAGTGCCCAAGGGGCTTGTTTGAAAAGCCATATACTTCTCCTGTATTCTGCGTGTATACTCAGAATACCTGTGGCAGAAACAGAGCAGACTGTTTGAAGTACTACACGTTTCCATTCTATCAGCCTAACGGCAGAATCCGATGAATCTTCGAAGGTTTAATGTGTGTAAGCCTTTTTAGCGCTTTTGAAAACAATTGTTTTATTTATTAAAATATATTAATATTTGTTTTCACCTCTGAGTTCAATCTGACCCCAATTTTGGTTAATCCACTTGTACCATTTCTGTTTTTAGCTGATAACATTATCAGTTCTGATATAATTTAGATTTTGATATTTTTTTGGGTTCTTACAAATACAAAAATTGTACATTTATTAGGAACCAAACGCCGCTTAGAGTTCCATGCCCCGGGATTGCGTTTCTTTCCACGGACATTATCTCGACACTTTGTAGTTAATCAGAGGATGCAGGGTTAATGACACTCAAGTAGTCTGGTTGCCTCCTGCTCACTCCTACTAAAAGTGTTCTTAATTTAGTCATTTCTATACAACTTGCTTATATCAGTGATTAAATGATTACAAGTTCTTCATGCTGCTGTGCCACACTGCTCCGAGCAGTCAAATATGCCTTAAAAATCAATAAAATCATGTCACAACATAATGGTAGCACAGACTCCATTTAATCTACTGGATACAATGAATTTGGAAGACTCCAGATTTAATGAAAGAGGTTAACCTTTATTTTCCAGATGAAAGTGTATCATGCCAATTAAGGAATTAATAAAAGCCAATTCAGGCATAAATGCACAACATCAATTACCTAAAGGCAAATCTAAGAGTATAGATGGAAGTCCAAATTATACATAGTGTTGAGATTAAGAGCTCTTCACTTCGGGCCAGTTTGGATACAGACTTATGACCCCTTCTCTTTAAATATCCTAGCATTGAATGGTTATTTTGTAGGGATGTAACGGTATTGTAAATACTGTCATACCGCAATATAAATTTTTTTTTATATTACCGTAGTCGCATGACTCTGTAAAACTATAGTTCTTCTGAGAAAATTTGCTCAGGCGAATGAAGCGAACGGGAGGTACCGGAAACTACAATTCCCATCAGCCCAGGCTTGGCCATAATCCCTTGCGGTCTGTTGTCGCTACAGATCCAGTAATGCGGAAATGGAGTGTGCTGCTAGAAGCGGGGATCAAAAAGAGCTGGAAAACCCTAAAGCGGGTGTTGTCGCCGCACGCGTACTGAATAGTGGTGTTGTCGCGCGAGTTCTTATCAGCTGTGTTGTCGCGCGAGTTCTTATCAGCTGTGTTGTCGCGCGCGTACTGAATAGCGGTGTTGTCGCGCGAGTTCTTATCAGCTGTGTTGTTGCACGCGTACTGAATAGCGGTGTTGTCGCGCGAGTTCTTGAATAGCGGTGTTGTCGCGCGAGTTCTTATGAGCTGTATTGTCGCGCGCGTACTGAATAGCGGTGTTGTCGCGCGAGTTCTTATCAGCTGTGTTGTCGCGCGCGTACTGAATAGCGGTGTTGTCGCGCGAGTTCTTATCAGCTGTGTTGTCGCGCGCGTACTGTAAAGCGGGGACGGAGGGTATGTCGCGTCGCGGGGGCACTTTTGATCATTTTGGAAGGGAACTTTCTATCCAAGACTAAAAAGGGTATGTGCACTGCACAGGTTGAGCTCTATGTGTGCACATGCCTGCAAGTTGGGGAATACGACTAATAATCAGTCATGGGGACTGCAGAAACACAGCACACTGTTCAGATTGATGCAGACATGAGATCTCTATCTCACTCATGGTTTGTCCTCTCAAGTGGGGGAAAGACAATGCACAACGTTACCCACTGCTGTCAACCTGGGCCAAGTCATATCTCTCTTGTCCCAGAAACCTCAGTCCCAAATGAGAGGGTTTTTTCTGTTGCAGGGGACATTGTAAATACCCAGAGATACCAGCTTTTACCAGATTATATTTATATGATAATTTTCCCATCTCTATCTAAGTGAGTGAGTGATTAAATGTTGAATGTGATGAGTTTTCAACAATACTAAATTGAAACTTTATTTTTTTACATGGTTTAATATTTTTTTGTTAATAAAATTGAAGTTCCTGTTTCAAAGCTTACAGATAGATGGCTAATTTGTATGTCATTGACACTTTTGGCACTTTTTTGGAGTATTTTCATAAGTTTAGTGTTTTCCTGTAAATGATTCAATAAATACCGTACCGTGACATTCATACCGAGGTATTACCGTACCGTGAAATTCTGATACCGTTACATCCCTATTATTTTGTCAAAGTTAACAAGTGACTTAAAGATTTACTAATCTGTTGAGATTTAAAGAGCACCTATTATACATTAAAAGGGTCATATTTTGGTTTTGGGGGTCTTCAACAACAGGCTGATATGCTTTCAAGGTCAAAAACACTTTTATTGTCTTATAATATGCATATAGTTTTACATAATTTTCCCAGTGACTTCCATATGATTAGTTCAGCGATTCATTCATTCCCAAAGCCCCCCTTCGCACAATGCTAATCTGCGCTGATTGCACCGATGACAGTCTGTTGCAACTGGTCGACAGCTTTCAGTGAGAGACAGAGTGAAATGCCCACTACAACTTATCACCAATGTTGAAGTAGTCAGAGTGGATGTGTGAGCATACCTGCCAAAACCCCTGTTTTTCCCAGGAATCTGCCGTTTTTCAGACTAATCTCTTGCATTTCAGACCCATCTCCCACCACCGTCCAGTTTTGTTATTTATCCAGGAAAACTCCTTTAATTTCAACAGTGAATAACTTCTGGTTCCCCCTGAACATAAACCCTTCTCTCCGGGATTTTCAGGTACAAATGTTGGCAGGTATGTGTGTGAGCCCAATGCAGAAGTGCATTATAGCAATGCAGTTTAACACCAGCATATTGCTCTATTCCTAACCATAAATAAAAACACTGACACACATTCAGTATTAATTCACACTGTGGGAAAATCTGAACTATTTTGAAACTTGACCGCTGCACATGTGTAGGAACAGCTGATGGTGGCCATAGCAACGACAAACAGCAGTGCAACGCGAGCTCACGAACACATCTAAATCTGTTAACAAAGCAGAATGCGCCGTGTTTTCAACGTGGCATTAGAGGCGATATGAGAATATAAAGAGTTAACCAAATACACTACAAGTGGTTACAAGTAACAAAACACAATTAAATACATACTTTGCAAGCAAAAGAAAGCAAGGAGGCAACCATTTTAATCACACTTACTTACACTTGTGAAATGGAGGAAGAAACTGATCCATGAACTGTGTACTGTAAAGTTCCTGTCAAGCTCTGACGAAATCACATACATCAATAGTCTTTTCTAATCCTTCCGTTAACAGACGGCTGATGAATCACCCGTTGTAAGCGTGCAGATTGCTGTAGCACTCGTCAGAAAAACGATGGGAATACAGCACAATTAAGGCTGGGGCTGTAATGCTGAGGGTTTGCGCGTGCAACAATTGGGCCGGGCTTAAGTTTCGTATCGACGTCACGCCGAAACGGCTAAAGCTTCGTTATCAAGATGGTTCATTTGAAGCACTATGAGTACAGTCTTTTATAGATGGATCAATAGTTTTAAACACTGTGCACTTTCAGATTTAAACCTTAGCTGGATATTTCTCTTCACTTAGAGCTGTGTTATACACTACATGGAAATTCATTTCCAAAAACCCAGAATAGGGGCTCTTTAATCAAAATTTATCAAAGATAGTGAATAAAACATTGTTACCAGTAACACCTGAGTTTTTATCAGTACTAGAAGGGAAGGAAAGTTCAAGAAAGAGGACAAGAATGTGTCAAAGTATATCCTGGCCCTTTTCTTCAGATTCCAGAGTTTTTTGGCACATTTAAGTCTTAAGTAAAATCAATTCCTACAGTTGCTTATTTTTAATAGTGTCACAATGTCATATGGTCTTTTCTAATTCTAAAACATGGTAACTTGCTAATTAAATGGCATATTTCATTTAAATTGGTGTTAAAACAAATGTGTTGCTTAATGCTTTTAAACTGCTTTTCTCATTAATGTGTAATTATATGAAAATCTGGATGATATGCTAGAGAATTGTTTTGCTGAGATAATTCTCGCTCTTACAACTCTAATCAGTAGCTGGCTACCTGTAACTGATCAACTAGCTCAATTGCGTGCAAAAGTGAAGTAAAGCCTAAAAGTCAAGAGAAAGGAAAGAGGCAGAATGGGGAAGGCTTGTTCTTTATCCTTGTGCTACAGATGGTTTGTTTAATTGTTTTCTCGCTTAAAGCATTCAGTTTTTTCACTTACAAAATCTGCCATGTAAATAGCAAATGCGCCATGGTGTGACACAACTGACCCTTAAAGGGAATGGGAGATGAGGCTATGATTGGTTTAATGCACATTATGCTCAAAACACACCTAGAACTGATTAAGAGAATAAACATTTAGACCATGCACCAGGACCAACAGTTAGACCATGCACCAGGGCACAAAGGGTCATTTTTCTGTCCTTAAAATAGCAAATGTGGATTCGGACAAGCTCTTCATACTTGTGCGCCATGCGCTTTAGACTTTGCACCTAGACCATTAAAATAGAGCCCTAATTGTCACCTCACACTGACCACACCACATACATTTGATAAACAGTGGCACATAATGGTCAAAAGTTATAAACCAATAAATCATTAGCTGATTTCATAGTTTTTTATGATTTTTGATATTTTAAGTTGAAATATACAGTATTAGGAACTCAATGTTTCTCTTGATCTGAATCTCTCTGTAGAGTTAATTATATAACATCATATCAAATGTATTTGAAATGATATTAAAAACAAACATAACATGAATATTTCTATCCTTCTCTGTTCAACCAATAGGAGCGTCTTTTACTATCCCTGCTTCCCGCCCACATCGCACGGGTCATGAAGGCGGAGATCATCCAGAGACTGAAGGGACCCAACTTCAGCCAGGCGGAAAACACCAACAACTTCCACAACCTCTATGTACAGAGGCACACTAATGTAAGGTAGGGCTTGTGACACACATAGCGTCATTTCTTTGCTCTCAGCTGATTTATTTTTGTCAGCCTAGAAAATATATCCCATGCACTGCACCTGCTCTCCGCGGAGCTGTCATACCCTCAATAGATCCTGTCAAACCATCCTGCCCTCCTTCAGTCTGCACCGGAAAAAAAACAAGCTATTCATCAACCTAGATGGAAGTAACCCTCAATCTAAAAAGCCTAGACACTTTTTGTACGCTTCTATTAAAAAGTAAAAACAAACACAGTCTTCTGCTAAATAGGGCATACTGTTGAAGTGGCTCTTCATCGTAACATAAATATAATTTTCCTCAATGCATCGAAGGACAAGGAGTTCTTTGCTGATTTAGAAGCAGTACCGCTTTCTGCTTCAAAGAGGTTCTCCTTTCACTTCAATATCCTTTTTTTCTTCATTTTTGAGGATGCTCTGCTCATTCTCAGTGTAACCGACTGAAGGAAAAAGCGAAGGATATTTTCTTGGCATCTGCATAATGTTCTGTTTCTGAGAATCACACTGGATTTCACACTGGATCTTACAGGGCAGGCTGAAAAACACACTTGTGTCATTGATGTTACTGAAGGATTTTGGCAGAATTGAAAGAATGTGTTTCTACTTCAATGAGAGATAAGTTGGCCCGCATACTGTATGTGGTATAATGACAATTGCATTGAAAATACTTCTATTTATGCAGTAGTTTTAGTCCTTGGATTTGATCGACAGCGTGTTTCAAGAGTGCTGATGTATGGTAGCTTTTTTTTTTTTACTGTGTAGGGCTGATTTTCCACATGGTAGGTGATGACAAGTAAATTACTTTATGAATCTAAGTTTAATTGACGTAATTTGCTCAAAAACTGATTCTTTCAGGAGTAAAACAGGTGATTTTTTTTCAAGTGAGTCATTGAATTCATTTATTTTCTTTTGGCTTAGTCCCTTTATTCATCAGGGGTCACCACAGCTTAATGAACCGCCAACTTATCCAGCATATGTTTTACAAAGCGGATGTCCTTCCAGCTGCAACCTAGTACTGGGAAGCATCCATACACACTCTCATTCACACACTCATACACTGCGGCCAATTTAGTTAATCCAGTTCACCTATAGCGCATGTTTGTGGACTGTGGGGGAAACCCACGCAAACACGGGGAGAACATGCAAACATCCACACATAAATGCCAACTAACCGACTTGAACCAGCAACTTTCTTGCTGTGAAGCGACAGTGCTAACCACTGAGCTACCGTGTCGCCCTAAGTCATTGAATTAAATTCCATTATAATGTAATGAGTGAGCAACACGTTGGCTCAGTGGTCAGCACAGTCGCCTCACTGCAAGAAGGTCGCTGGTTCGAGTCTCGACTGGGTCAGTTGACTTTTCTGTATGGAGTGTGCAGTATACAGTAGGTGAAGCGAGTAAATAAAATTAGCCGTAGTGTATGTGTGTGTGCCAAAATATATGGGTGTTTCCCAGTACTGGGTTGCAGCTGGAAGGGCATGCACTGCGTAAATACATGCTGGAATAGTTGGCAGTTCATTCCGCTGTGGCGACCCCTGATAAATAAGGGACTAAGCTGAAGGAAAAAAAATGAATGTACCCAGCAAGCATTTTTTGTTTTTAAAAGATGTCTAATAGACGTCTAAACATAGTCATCTTGGCTAAAACAAGGCTAAATTTGGGCTGTCCGTAAAAATCTAATAGACTTTTAAGAATAGGCCAAAACTAGACTACTCATCAATAAACAGAAATAAATGACTACATATATAAAGTCTGTCTAATCCAGGGGTCACCAATCTCGTTCCTGGAGGGCCGGTGTCCCTGCAGGGTTTAGCTTCAACTTGCCTCAACACACCTGCCTGAATGTTTCAAGTATACCTAGTAAGACCTTGATTAGCTTGTTCAGGTGTGTTTGATTAGGGTTGGAGCTAAAATCTGCAGGACACCGGCCCTACAGGAACAAGTTTGGTGACCCCTGGTCTAATCAGTCTATTTGATGACTAGTCTAGTTGTGGGCTTCTTAGATGTCTATTAGATTTTCACTGACAGCCCAAGTTTAGTCTTGTTTTAGCCAAGCTGTCTACGTTTAGAAGTTTGTTAGACGTCTATCAAACACAAAATTGTTTCCTGGGTAATGAGTAAATCATTGAATCACCTTGAATACCTGTAACTTCAACTATTTTCTTAGATCGGGTGTCTGATTTGTCTATTTACATTTGACAACGTACTGTAGAATAGATGTGCCTCAGCTAAATGGATATAATTCTAATCTTGAAATCCTGGGTTAAATACAAATTTAACTATGTTACATAGACTAAAGCATCAGATACAATACAACACATTTTGTTTATAAGCTATATATCTTATTTGGCATACAAATTGTTTTATATGTAGGCTACAGGAGGCTGTGCACAAGGCTCTGTGATTACTGTCATAATAGGCTAAATAATTTTGTGTATAACCTGCCTTCCCAAAAACAAAACACTGTGCCTTCTTAAATGGAACACAAATTATATATTTTTCTATTATTTTCCCTCTCCATTCACAAACATAAGTGCATACTCAGCCTGAAGTGTCTCTGTTGTTAATGCTGCCATTTGGTATTATTTTAACATTTGAATTAGATTTTTTTGGTTAAAAATCAAACAAAACACACATCTGAAATTGTCATTTGTGACACTGCGTGTTGGATATTATACATATTGTTATAAGAGACTGTCATATAGCCTATTACAGTACTTCTCAACCATGTTCCTCGAGGACCACCAGCTCTGCACATTTACCATCCTTAACCACCTGATTTCTTAAACACCTGATTCACATTATCATCTCATTAGCACAGACTGAACGACCTGTAATGGATGTGATAGACAAAGGAGAGATCCAAAAAATGAGTGTTGGTGGTCCTCCAGAAAAGTGGTTGAGAAACACTGGCCACTAGGAGGAGAAAAATTTACATATGGTTTTACAACCAGATGCATGTAGACTTGTCCAGTTTTGTTTCAAACCTGAAGTGGTTTGAGTGATTGGATATGGATCTTTCTGGTATGCATTAGGGATGTCCTGATCCAATCACGTGATCAGAAATCGGGCCCGATCACACGGTTTCAGACTCGATCGGAATCAGACGTTGCCCTCCCAATCAGGACTCCAATAAAGAGTTAGACCTCTTTCTTGACTTCACACAGAAACAGCAATGAGTGCTGCATGACATCACTTTGTTGCAGAGACGCTATTAGTTAAATGCCGGAAGCAGCTTGAAGCAGAAAGCGCGAGTATGTCTGCGATCTGGAGGCATTATAAAGTTGATGATGGCAGCATTGCCATAGCAAACTGTGAGATATGTAAACTTGGGATTGCCTGCCAGGTATTTAAAGTTGAGGTGCTATTTGTTTTTATTTTAGATTTTTTTTTATACTTACTGTTGCACTAAAGTCCAAAAAGTGAAGAATGAATGTTATTTATTACTTGATTGTTTAAGCTACTTCACAGTAGTGCTCTGTTTGTAATCAGAGTTGTTAAATGTTAATATAAGGTTAATTAAATAAGAAATAAGGAACATCCTGGATCTGTTTCTTCGCTTTTCTTCGTTCATTTTTTATTTATTATCGAAGTATCGGATCAGGTTTCAGTATCCGTATATACTCAAAATCAAATGACTAATATGCATTTCAGAGGGCATTTACACCTGTCTTTTTCATGGTCAGATAGCTGTCAAATCAGGAAAACCATGCGTAAACAGCCCCTTAGTTACACTAATCTGCTCTAATACGCTGATACTTTCAGAATTGAACTAAATAGGTGAATAAATGTCTGGTTTATCCCATAAAAAGCATTATTAGCTTGCCATACAATTGGTCAAAACATCAAAAAAAAGTATTTTATTTGCCGTACAAATGAATCATGCATATTTTATGCTCTTTATTTTGAGTTGTCTTGAACATTTGAATGTTTTCCACAGCATTCTGTACGCAGACATTGTTGGATTCACACGTCTGGCCAGTGACTGTTCACCTGGAGAACTGGTCTACATGCTCAATGAGCTTTTCGGCAAATTTGACCAGATAGCCAAGGTACTTCCTAAAGAGCATAGAAGACACTAAGATCCCACTTTCTAGAACATTATATTTACAATAATAAGACACTGAGATTTGTATTTTTTTTTTTCTGTACACAATGTAATGTTTACTAACTGCGATTTAATTTGAGGTTTTGATGGTTTGTTTGGTGCAGGATAATGACTGCATGCGGATCAAAATTCTAGGCGACTGCTATTACTGCGTATCGGGGCTGCCGGACCCTCTGTTGGACCATGCCAAGAACTGTGTGAAGATGGGGCTGGACATGTGTGAGGCCATCGAGTAAAAGAGCACACTTATTTTTAAACACTATTACATTAACACATTATTACACAGATGTCTGAAATTCATGATTCTAACTGCTCTATCACAGACGCTGAATGGTGTAATTGACCTTTTTTTCTGGTTAGTTTACCCATAAACAACAATTTGCTGTTTATTTGCCCACCCTCAGGCCATCTAAGATGTGAATCTTTTTCTTTAGTTAACCATTAAAGGATTTTAGCAGAAATTATGGCCATTGATGGTTCAGAAAATCCAAATTAAGGGCCAAAACATAACTAATACTAGTTGCTCCTGTAGATAAATTAAGGTTTTATGAAGTGAAACAATTTGAGAGTAAGATGTGAGTACGACACTGAGTGTCATTTGCAACATGATTAACTTTAAAGTTTTAAACAGTAAACTACATTGAGATTTTGACAGAGAAACATGTGTTTGCTTTAACAACAAGTCTTTTGGAAAGCTACTTTTGAAAGTAATCCATTACAGTATTGAGTTACTTACTAAAAAGCAAACTAGTTGCGTTACTTAGTTACTTTTTATGATAAGTAATGCGTTACATTACTTTTAAGTTACTTTTGTGTTACTTTTTTCTACCTGGCTGAGGCTTGATCTCTTTTACAACTTGCAGGTTTTTTTTTTTTCCTTTTTGAATACCTTCGTTTTAATGTAGCAATTTATTTTTTAAAGATAATTAATTAAACTACATTAACCCGCATTACATTTTTAAAAAGTAACTGCAATTTTACTACTTTCGTTTTAAGCAATGATTACTTTACTCGTTAATTAGTAAAGTAACAATATTATATAACTTGCATTACTTGTAATGTGTCTCCTCAACACTGTTTATAACTGATTTAAATGGTTAAAACCATAACCTTTTTATGGCAAAGAATCATTATTTTAGCTTCATTGACACTAAAAGTACAAAAGTCTTTTAATAAAACTTAATGGGCTCTATTTTAACAATCTAGATGCAAAGTCTAAAGCGAATGGCGCAAAAGCATTAAGGGTGTGTCCGAATCCACTTTTGCTATTTTAAGGATGGAAAAAAACGGTTTACGCTGAGGCGCTTGGTCTAACAGAGTTTTGCTTATTCTATTAATGAGTTATGGGTATGTTTTGAGCATAGTGCACCTATTCTTATCCCCCATATAGTCCAAAACCTGACAGGTGGACAAATCTAAGCTTGTTTTTATTAAAACAATTATAAAAATGCATATAACAAACAATTAGCTACTAATAACGTTATACGAATGCACATTGTCATGAATAAACTAAAAAAAGCGCCCCGAAATGAGGTATGGAGGAAGGGGTTTTTATGTTTATGTAGAAAGAATTAATTTTTGTAATATTTTAATCCATTCATTATTTTTCATTTGTAAAGATATTTGCGTATTGCTGTAAATCCTGTGTGTATTAAGCAATGTGTAAGTGTTTAAGGCACAAAACCAATGTGCTCTGCACTGGACTGTACATCAGCTTTCAGCTGGTCAATTGCGCTGTCTATTTTGCTCAAAAAAGCAACGTGCCAACAATGCCCCTTAACGCACCTTCTTTTTAGACCAGCACACCCATGAGTCCACAAAGCGACGCAAATAGATATGCTATTTAAACAACGTGGTGCAAAACGGAAAAGTTAAAGTCTGAAAATAGCAACAAATCATGGCAAACACAACTTGCGCCTTATTGTGCTGGGTGTATGATAGGGCCCAATATGTCTAGTGTCCTATAAAGGGTTAATAAACGAAACAAAATAAAACTAAATATGCATATATGTTTACGCTTTTGCTTAAAGACCTTAAAGCATGTGCCATTAGCCCATGTATTTTATGAATTACCAAAGACCAAGAACTTTATTTTTAGCTATAAATATCTAAAGTTTTTGTTTCGTTTTTTTTCTGAAGAATAAAGTAACTTAAATCTTTGATTGCCTGAGTATGAGAAAATTTAAAGTTCAGTCAAAATTTAATCAAAACTTTAGTATATTACAGCTTCCAGCCTGCAGACCTCCTGCAGGGTGTCTTATAAACCAGTGTCTATCCGGATTTATTTTTGTGGTAATCAATTTCATCATTAGAGCAAAAAGACCCATGTAATTAAATCGGCTACAAAGCTCTAAAACCACTACACATTATGCCTTTCATCATCTAGCAGAGAGCATTTTGGGTGTCGTTTTCTCCCCATGGTGTCTGTCTTTTCAAGCACTACTCTCTGAGGCTGAAATAACCCGCATACTCGAGAGGCTCAGATGTGTGATATTGTTGAAACCCACACATTCTCTCTTTCCTTCTCTTTCTCTGTTTTAAAGTACAGCCTCTTTTTTTTCCAGTGGCTTTCACGATTCTTTACCCATTCTTCATTCTTTCGCTTTTCTGCCACATATTCGATCTCCGTAACGCTACTGCAATCTTTTTCATTCACACACACACACATACACAAATCCATTTGAGGGGGTAATTGAGGACCCTCTAGTGTATTTTCCAGCATGACACTGTTCAGGTTAAGGGGCTTCTTGAAATAAGAATGGTGTGTGACAGATGCACCGAAACGCACACATACACGCACACACATACACGCACACACACACACACACACACACACACACACACACACACACACACACACACACACACACACACACACACACAGCTCCAAGAGTGCAATTATTTATTTGTTTGTTTATCTGTTTATTCATTATCATTGATTTTTGTTTAATAGAATTAGGAATCCATAGTCCAGCCTGCATAAATGTTTTTAAGTAGTTTTATTTTGAGAGAGCACAGCTGTTTTCGGTAGTTTTTTAATTGTTTTTGTTTAAAATAGTAATCCATAGACTAGCCAGCTTAAAAGTTTTATTTTGTTTTGTAACGTTAATCATTAATATTCCAGCTTGCATACATGTTTTTGCATTGTATTATTATTATTTGTTTATTTCAGTTTGGTTCCAGTAAGCACCAATCACTATTGTGTGTGTTTTTTTTTGTTAGTTTCATGACAATAATGAGTGATTTTTTTTATCAACATCCCAGCACGTGTAAAATAAGTAATAAGTAATAATTCGTTTTTTTATTTTGTTTTGTTCTGAGGTAGCACCGGTGGCTGTTTTTGTTGCATTTTTGTTTGTGTGTTTGTTTGTTTGCTTGCTTGCTTGTTTCTTTTGTAATTTTTGTCTAAAATAAAATTGTTTTTTGTTTGTTTTAATGGCGAACTAGTAACCTTTTTGTTTTTTTGTTTTTCATTAATAATTCAACATTAGCTTTGTTTTGTTGTTTTATGACACTGAGTAGGTTTGCATGGACACCAATAATCCGACTTTAATACGATTAAGACAGTACTCATATTAATAGTCTACTGTGTAAAAAGCAAATTATGATTAATTCTATCTGATTAAGTTCATAATTGAACTAAACATAAATCAAATTAATGCATGTGGAGTATGCTGATTTTAGTCCCATTATTAAAGTGTAGTCAGACATGTTAACACCAAAATCAAACTTTAACCATCGTGTAAGATTTTTGCTGCATTTTGCGACAGACACTATTCTCTGTACCTACCGAGTCAGTGAAGGACCACAGACGCATACACAGTGAAAAGCAGAGGTTTTTTCCCTATACGGTGTGCAGTATTCCCATAAAACAACACTCTTTAACTCACATCCAAAGTCTCGTTTGTCATGGCGGGCATGCATGAAATGTTCCTAAATGAAAGTGAAAGTGCCAAACTGCAGTTAAAGTCGACAAATTAAAAATTAAGCACCTGAAATTATGTGAAACTCTGGAGGAAATGTGGATAGCGTGGTGACGCAATAACGTTAATCCATTTATGTGCTATAACATGTAAAAAAGGATCATGAAATGAAAAACTCATGTACAGTAAACACCTTAATCATTTTATTGTCTTATTCAGATTAAGGATAATAATTTGATTACTGATGTCCATGTAAACGTAGTCACTAATAAACTATAGTCCAGCCAAGATAAAAGTTGTGTTTTATTTTATATTGATTTGTTTATTCTGTTTTTGTTTCTTAAAAAAAAATCAGTAGTCTGAAAATCAAAAAAAATGTAAAAATTATATTTGATGCAGAGAACGACGATTTTACTGATCCACGGACAACCAAAATACCACAGAAATGCATGCTGGTCTTCACAGCAGGGAGCTTGTAATATTTAAGCTGGTTTATCTGAAACACAAGATGAGATGTTCTGTGTACTGAATGAAAATATACACAGGCACCAGACACACTCCCTCATAAACCAACACATACTGCTGCAGTCCTGGCACCTTCTGATATTTACTCGGCTATAAATAATTCTGGTGTTAAGCCGAGTTTTTTTTTTTTTTTTTTGTGAAATATGGTGCCGTTTTGGTCAATTCAAAGGATGGAGAGACAGACTGAAGTGTGTTATGTGTTGTTAAAAAATACATTTGATGGCAGTGGAAGAAAAACCTGCTTTATTTACATACAATATTAGTCAAATATTCATTCAAGAATGCCCAGATTTAAAAAAAATAGATGTATTATGATTAAATGCTTAGAGTGCTTAATATTATTGTATTAATATTATCTAGTAAACAAATGATTACTTGTTGCCTTGCTTTGTTTTGTTTTGTTTTCATTAATAATTCAGTACAAGATTTGCTTTGTTCTATAATATTAAAAAGTGTTTATTTTGTTTCATTTCGTTTTGTTATGTTTTATTCATTTTTATTCAAAAATACCAAAATTAAAAACAAATATATTATGATGAAATGTTTTGAGTGCTAGTAAACAAATTTAGTAAAAAATGATAAATCGTTGCCTTAAAATACCTGTCTGTAAGAATCAGTCACAATAATAAGCCAAACTTAACAATTTACTTATTTCTTTGTTATCCTTGTTTTTTTATAAATATACTCCATAGTATATGCTGAAAATAAGGAACTATAAGCCAAAGGGGAAAATGAATAAATGAGTCTATGAGTATAAAATTAGTATAAAATTTTGTTTTTGTTATGCTGTATATATATTTTTGTTTTTTTGTTTTTTGTATTAATTAATAATTCAATATACAGTTAAATATTACAGTTAAAATTATTAGCCCCCCTCCCCTGAATTATTAAAATGACATTTAAAGGCTTTACTAGGTTAATTAGGCTAACCAGGCAGGTTAGGGTAATTAGGCAAGTTATTGTATAATGATGAGTGTAGACTATTAAAAATAAATAAATAAATAAAATAAATAAAAAAAAAAAAAAATATATATATATATATATATATATATATATATAGCTTAAAGGGGCTAATAATATTGATCTTATAATGTTTTTTTCTTTTTATTTTATTTTAGAACTTTTATTCTAACCAAAATAAAACAAATAAGACTTTCTCCAGCAGAAAACATATTATCAGACATACTGCAAACATTTCCTAGCTCTTTTAAACATAATTTGGGAAATATTTAAAGGGGGCAATAATTCAACTGTAAACTTTTTTTGTTGTTGTTCTAAAACATTAATAATCAACAGTCCAGTCTAGATAAAAGTTGTCTTTTGATTTGTTTTGTTTTTATTTATTTATTTTTTATATATTTTGTTTTGATTTAATTAAAAACAAATATATACTGATTAAATGCTTAGAGTGCTTTAAATTAGCTTATCTAGTAAACAAATGATTAATTGTGGCCTTAAAAAAACCTGTCTGTAAGAATCGGTCACAATAATAAACCCAGTATAAAAGTTTTTTTTTTTTTTGTTATCTTTGTTTTTTTATAACTATAATCCATAATCTATGCTGCAAATAAGGGACTAAGGCAAAGGAAAACGAATGAATGAGTCTGCTGTATAAAATTTTGTTTTGTTTTTTGTTTTTCATTAATAATTCAGTATAAGCATTTTGTTGTTCTGTAACATTATTAATCAACAGTGCAGCCTAGATAAAAGTTGATTTTGTTTTATTTTTTTCTATGTTTGTTTATTTTTTTTTAATTACCTTAGTTTTTTATATAAATAATCCATAGTCTATGCTGCAAAAAAAGGATTAAGTCGAAGTTTAGTTTTTTCTATAAAGTAATATATATATATATATATATATATATATACATATTAGGGGGTGTAACGGTTCACAAAAATCACGGTTTGGTTTGATACGACACAGTGGTGTCACGGTTCGGTATGTTTTCGATACAGCAAAAAAAGAAAAAAGCCAGAGGATTTCTCTGATTTTTTTTTAATGTATTAAAACTAACATCATAAAAGTATTATCTTTTTTTTTATTTTTTTTTTTACTTTAAGCAGTGATAGAGCTATACGTCTGGGGTTTTCCTTTATTATACTCAACACCAAAAAGCTTCATATAAAAAATAAATAAATTTAATAATGTAGTAGTTAAACAAATAAAAATAAAAGAACAATTTAGTTTTTATATGGAATTTCAATCTATTTTTAAGTATTTTTTTCATTTTCAGAAAGATGAGTGTCCACTGTTTCTTCAGACAGCACAGATCTGCTTGATTTGACTGTCACCTGCCATTTTAGTGGATCTGAAAGCAGGAATTATCTGACTAAAATGGGCTTATGAAGGAAAAATGTAATAGGGCTCTATTACATTTAACATTTTCTTATAACCGGAAATTTCCACTACCGATTAAGGTCTAACAGGGCTCGAAATTAACCTTTTTTTTTCTTTTGCTTTCTATTATTAGGTTGAATAGTTTTGGTTTGGTTTTGTTGTTTGGATTAATTTTATGATAAGCACACAAACGTACAGTATATCATACACAGACACTAATGTGGCAGATGTGTAAAAAATCGTGTTTTAAACTAGTTCAAGATGTACTAAACACTAACCTGTGTGCCCGAGCTGTTAATATTGTACCTGTTATTTTAGGAAGGTGAGAGAAGCCACCGGTGTTGACATTAACATGCGTGTTGGAGTGCATTCTGGAAATGTTCTCTGTGGTGTCATCGGCCTTCAGAAATGGCAGTATGATGTTTGGTCACATGATGTCACCCTGGCCAATCACATGGAGGCGGGCGGTGTTCCTGGGTAAAATCGTCAAATGACTTTTGTTTTTCTCCCATTTCATGATTTTCATATATTTGCTTCAAGTGCTATTATGCTCATGAAGGGTTCTTGACGTTAATAGAAATGCTCTTTCGAGCGCTCAGCGAATTCGCTTTTATGCTGCTAATGAGTATTTCGTTGAATCACCCAAAAAAATAACAGCAGCGCAAAGAGCTGTTTTAATTTTTTATATCTTAACTCTATTGTTTCTGCGAGCTTTGGAACATTTGTGAATTACTCATATAATGCACCTGTGTTTGTGTAGTGTTTTTTTTCATTCGCCAGTATGTAATAGTTGTGTGCTCCTCTGCAGACGGGTTCACATCTCTTCTGTGACGCTGGAACATTTGAATGGAGCATATAAGGTCGAGCAGGGCAACGGACAAAGCAGAGATTCATACCTGAAAGAGCACGGCATCGTCACATATCTAGTCATCAACCCGAAGGTAAAGCATGACGCAGTCCAGCTTCAGCTTATGTATAAATAACTGCACATTTACATTTTATGAAGGAAAAACTGGTGCTTTGTGGTTGCTATAGTGTTCCGAGTGCATCAATTTTGCACTGAACTTTATGATGTTGGGTGTATTTTTCAAGCATGAAATTTAAATATTTTTTATTTAAATTTTTAGAAGTCTGAAAAAAATGTAATATTGCAAAAATGGAGATAAGCAAGACATTAGAACAATGTTCATGTGGTGAAAATCCTGTCAGTAATGTGTGAAACTGTCTTATAGATTAATATAATGTACAAAAGGTACTAATATGTACAGTTTAGGGATTTTAATCTTTTTGATGGCACGGACCCTCAAATCATGCGATGGACCACCATTCTAAATGTAAAAATATAATAATCTATATTGTTTCTTGTATAAATACCGAATTTATGCTACAAAAATTTAATTGTTTTCATTTTTTTTTTTTTTTTTTTAGCTATTTTTTACGTCTATCATTTATCAGATGTTGGAGTTTGGTCACTGTCCAACACAACCTAAAATTAACCAAATATCAACATAACGTTTTATGTTGTTATTAGACGTCAGAATAACATTGTCCTTAGACGCAGGCTAGACATTGAATTTTGGTCACCTGATGTCATGACCTCAATCTAACCTAATATTAATGTCTTATGATGTTGTGTGTCTGCTGGGTTACCACAGACTTACACCTACAGTACAAAACACAATTAACCAAATGAATAATTTACTTCTCAATAACACATTTTGTTAAACATACTAACTTCTTTTCAAAACAGAACACATCTATCTAGAAATCTGACTCAGAATGAAATGATTCTGTCAATGAATAGTACTTGTTTTCACTTCACAAGGAACATGCAGTCAAAGGACACAAGGTGTTCAGGTCAAGGCTATTGTTGACATTACAAAAACTGCAGAGACTTTTATGTTTCAGTTTTACAGGTATCTGCATGCAAAACATGAAATCCACCATTTTGACACTACATTTTTTGGTTGGGAAATGTTATGTCCACATGTACAGTAATGTCCACACTTAAAAGCATTCCAGTAACAAGCAAACAAGTTATTTTTTTCCTTTACTGTTTACTAAAAGAGGTACAGTAGAAACATGGTATGATAAAACAGAAAAAGGTTGACAGTATTGCTTACAGTGAACAAAATATCTATAAAACGCACAAGAGCATTCTGAACAAAAGAAAAAACAGCAAAAAGCCCAGATAAAAAGTGGGGGATCTAAAAAAAGCATAAAATTACTGTTTCTAATCTCGATCTTTGATCTTCAGGTTTACACCACAAAGTCCTCCTTTTACTGTATAAGTGTAAATGTAAGAGAAAAAAATAACCCCTGCTGCTGAGTCTAAACCAGACTAGAATCAGCTGTGCTTGGCCCAATTTACCCAACATAAATCAGCTGTGTGTCAGTTATTCAGTAGATTGTTTATTATCAGCAGATATATATTTTTGATACTGCTATTGTTTTTTGAACTGATATGATTGCAGAAGCAGAGGTTTTAATACTGTAGCTTAATTTTGGAAAGTAGTTTTTGCTATTGTGGGATGTTTTGTGTTAACATTCATAAATACTACAAAAACGATCCATGGGAGGTATAGCTTGTCTGTTAAGAAAATGTAAGCTGGTGAAAATGTGTGCACTGACTGCAGATTGGGTAAAAATGACATGAAATGTGTGAATGATTTGGTCACAAAGAGCCGATGCTTTGCTAATTAAGTTTTGAAAATGTGACAACTGGTTAGACAAAGACATCATAGTGGTGCAGTGTGTAGCACGATCGCCTCACAGCAAGAAGGTTGCTGGTTTGAGCCTCGGCTGGGTCAGTTGGCATTTCTGTGTGGAATTTGCATGTTCTCCCTGTGTTGGCGTGAGTGTCCTCCGGGTGCTCCGGTTTCCCCCATAGTCCAAAGACATGCGCTATAGGTGATTTGGGTAAGCTGAATTGGCCATAGTGCATGTGTGGGATTGAGTGTGTATGGATGTTACCCAGTGATGGGTTGCAGCTGGAAGGGCATCCACTGCGTAATACATATGCCAGATAAGTTGTTGGATCATTCCGCTGTGGCGACCCTAGATTATAAAGAGACTAAATGAATGAATGAATTTTTGGATCAACGCTTGTTAGCAACTGAAAAAAATGTAATTATTTAACACAAAATGTTTATTTCATTTCATTTTTATGTGTTCAAGGGTTTATACAGTCATGCAAAACCTGGAAAAGTCATAGAATTTTGACATGGCATTTTCCAAGCCTGAAAAAGTTTTTAAAATACAGATAAACTCACAAGATTTTGGAAAAGTCATGGAAATTACATTAACATTTAGTCATTTAGCAGACAATTTTGTCCAAAGCGACTTAAGCTGCGATCACACTAGAGCTTTGTGACGGTCGTCATTAGAATTTTCTTTATTATTATATCAGTGACGTATGATTGGGTTACAGCTGTCAGCTGATGCAATGTTATTTAGAGTGCCTCGGATGGGGTTCTCGCTCTCTCTCATCCATTCCTTGTGTGTTTGTAGAAAGCGCGCTGCTTAGCTATTGCTTTGAGTCCGTTTTTTTTTTTTTAGCTCAATATAGAAAGTGCGCGTGTACGAGTATGTTTTGATGCGGACGTTGAAGCAGCGACATATATGAATGAAAGAGTTTATTATTTTGGCGGAGGTTTTGTTTGTGGAGTGAGGCGCGTGTTTATTTTTATTTTTGGTGCTCGAGTTGCCTATTTGTTTTGGGGTTTTTTCCTTTTTGTTTGAGTGTTTGATCACTGCTGTGATCGGGATTTGTTTGTTGCAGTTTTCTGGGCCCAATAGCATCAACAGGTGATGAATATTTGATTTGGTTTACTTTATTAAACCATGCATCTGTTGAAGCTTAATTTTTTCATTTAATTGAGTTATTTAAGAAACTGTAGTTTTTTTTTAACCCCTGGCGCTGACCCACTTTATTAGCCAAATACCGCTACAGCTTGAGCTTGCGAAATTCTGTTGTACAGCGCTGTGAAAAAGGGCGGGGTTAAACAATATGATTAGACATTAATAAAAGTGAGCGATTGCTCTATATTTTAAATTTCTTATTTTAAATTATCTTCTATAGGTCTTGAGGTTTTAGTCTGCCGCATTGGCATGCCTATGAATGGAAGTCTGGAGCGAAAAGTGCAGTGTGATCGCGGCTTTATAATAGAAGTACGTTAGTTTTACCTACTGTGCTGGATCCTCTACTAAATATATAATATAGTATAATATATTATAATATATAATTTAGCTTCTTTTAAATTGTTGTTGCCATAGAAACATTCTGACAGTTAGAATCAGTTAATTGCCTCATTTAAAAAGAACACCCCACCAGAAGACACTTAAGCAGGTTGCACACCAGGAGCGCCGCTCGGCGGCACGCCGCACAGCGCCACGCAGCGCCATGTATTTTAGAATTCTAAACATAGGTTTCTATCAGGATACACACACCGACGCCGCAAGTCGGCGGCTGTCGGCGGCACCCAGCGACGGCTCAGGACGCAGTTCATTTTTCAGCCGCGCCACAGAGCGCCATCTGATTAGTTTCATGTTAAATATCATTCGAATGTGCACGTCTGGTGTGTGATACTTTAAACTGTCATGTACGCGCCGTGTCGCGGCGCCGAGCGGCGCTTCTGGTGTGCGACCTGCTTTACAATCCACTCATCCTCTGATCATCTGTAGAAGCATTGTCTGTAAGTTTATTATCTGTGTATATATTTTATCTCAGATATTAATGTTATGTACATAGTTAACGTTCGAGGTTACTAAAGTAACCCTTCGTTCCCCGAGGAGGGGAACGGAAGCACTATAAGTGGATTTGATTGTAAAATCCACGCATTGGGAGGTTCGGTTCAGAAGCTACTCGTCTGAAAGAGTATTGAACGGGCCAATTAAGAATGAATTGGCAGCGCAAGCCTGCGCAGGTGAGCGGCATAAGCAATCAACTGAGTATATAAGCTCACCTGGCGCCAGCAGACGCTATCCTTTTTAAGCTGAAGAGACTTTCAACAGCTAAGGGACAGTCATTATGGCGACGGAGTATAGTGCTTCCGTTCCCCTCCTCGGGGAACGAAGGGTTACTTTAGTAACCTCGAACGTTCCCCTTCGGGGGGAACTTCAGCACTATAAGTGGATTTGATTGTAAAATCCACGCATTGGGAGCCCATTGAAAGCGCCATAATGACTGCACCTTACCAACACCCCCGATGAGGAGATAGTCAAGCAAGCGTGACGCACCCACATCATGGGGGGCGCGGTCCTCCAACGTGTCCCTGGCCCTAATTTATCCTACTTCAACAGAAGTTTTACGGATATATATATATTTTTTGGGAAGTCGTGAGCATCTAGATAATTTAGGAAAATACAACAGTACGTTGGGAAGCGTGCAATCCCGATAGGGAGGACGCTGCGGAGGCCATCCGTTACCCAAGGGGGGATAGATGGCAGAATGTACATATGGACTAGCCTTAAAAAGGGGGAGTACGCATAGCAAAAGAGTGGTTAGCGGGGAGGGAAGACACGGGTCCGCCCAGGGGGGGGACTTAACCGTGGCGGAATAAGCATATGGGATCGCCTAGTGGGGATCACGCATAGCAGGCACCTTTACCCAAAACGCGGGCTGACCAGCGGGCAGACCTACAACGTAGTGGGCCAGCAAGTGACTCCTCCGCTGAGTCAGTGCTGGGGGCCACGGAGGAATCTGCAGGGCTCACCTGACGGGGAACTTTACTGACAGATAAAAAGGCGCACGTATCTCCGTGTTAGGGAAAATGGCGCAGCAAGCGTGTTTCAACACCCTACCGAATTGTTTCCTCAATCACCAAGGGTTACCTAATACCCTTGAGGAAACCGGCTCCACTCGCAGATTGTAAAACCTTGCAAATGTGTTGGGTGTCACCCAGCCCGCAGCTCTACAGATGTCTGTTAGAGGGGCGCCGCG